TTACAGTTTTCCAAAATCATCTTGTCAATTAGGAGCTGATATTTTTGTCCCTCTGCTGTTTGGGCGGTTTCCTTTCTGCTCAGACAGAAAGAGCTTGTTTTCAACTAGATGCTGTTGGACTGCATCAACTACCACACCAATTAGCAATTTGAAAGTTGTTGGAAAGCAGGTAATTGGCTTGTAGTTACCTGGTGCTGCCCCTTTTGTTGGATCTTTCATTATCAGGTAAATTTTGCCAGATATTAACCAATCTTCATAAGCATAAACTGTTTCTGAATTCTACTTATAGTTCCAACAGTTAGAATCATAGAGGAGTACATATATTCTAGGTGCACACATAGATTAAGCTCCAGTAGCAACCTGCTAAGTAATTCATGTTTAAAATGGCTCTGAGCTAGAAGCTGGAGTTCATAGAAAAATGTTCATTTGGTACATTTGCAACAGGTTGCATTAGGTTATCAATTAGAATGGGAAACTGCTTGCAAATTAACGCAGAACAATTCATTAGGGTGAAGTTGGAAGAATGAAGTTGCTTGACTGTTCTGATAAAGCATGGCTGAAATTGTTTCTTACTGTCTTTTAAGTGAGTGAAAAAGGGGAAAACTGATTTAAAAAGGGGGGGAAACTGATAATAAAAAGCTGAAGTAGAAAAGTCCTTCAGCTTATGTCTAGAGCTAGATCCCTATTCAAATTATACAGTTGATCACTAAAAATAGTACAGCTACAGTTAAGCAACCAGTCTTTATACACAGACCTGCTGAATCTTCTCATAAAACTCTTGCATAATAATGTTTAAGTGGGCATAGTTCTGTTCAGAATCTGGGTAGTAGCCTCATAATAAGTATTATACAATTTCTTTAAAAATCCATGCAAATAAAGCAAGTATACTGCCTTAGTAGACTTTTTAAATAGATATTTTTCATTAGGAATTAGAACATTTTTTAATTTTTCCAGATTGAACTACATCAACAAAATTTAGAAGCATTGTATGATGAAAGTATTGCTGAACAGGAAAAACTAGCAGCTCGAAAAAATCAGACGACTCGCCGTTTACACAGTGCATCTATATTAAGCATAGCTCTTAAGGATGAAATGGTATTACCTTTTTAATCAGCTCTAATGCTTAAGTTAAAGCTTCATTCTTCACTTTTTAGATTGCTTTTTCTCTTTGAATCTTTCCCACATTATATACTTTGGTGTTGTGTTATATTTTATACACAATTGCAATTTTCCTCACTGTTCATATCTGAAATTTGGCATGAGATTCCTATGTGACCATTGTAATGCTAATTCAGAGGTAAATACGTTTTGAAGTAATTTAATCACTCTCTGGGGAAAAAATATCAAGTGCTGAAGACAATTTTATCACTCATTTGTTTCGCCTTGGTTTTTTTCCCACCTGGTTGAATTCTACTTCTCAGTACATAGATGGTTATAGATGCTCAGTTCACCAAGGGGTTATATGTAGAACACAGCAATATAGCATAGGATAAATACAAGGTTTAAGTAATGTCAATAGCATCATATATGCCACAATTTTTGTTAGAAATGTGTTTGATGATAGACAAAAGAACTACCATAGTTAGAATAATAGCTAGCCTTATTGGAGAGGCACTGTCTTCTTATATTAATCCATGATACCTAAAGTTTTGGAGGTGATGGGGAAGCCCCTTTTAATATACCAGTACATTCATTCTGAATTAGGGTGCAGAGGCATCATTGTGTGTTCGTCTGTGCATAACTCAAAATGTACATTTTTGGTAAGTTTAAGGTATTTTGAAATATTGGTTGGCAGCTATTTGAGATAATGCTAACAAATTGGTGAAAGCTATATCAATGTGCACATTTTTCCATTCTAGGTAACTATGGACATAGTACACATAACCAAATTAGCGAGGTTGTTTTGTCCATGACAGTCCCCTCTGATTCTACTTATAATGAATTAGTTGTCTAACTTGTCTGCCATAAGTAATTTTTTCAATTTCATACAACTCAATCCACATTGAGAGGAACCACATAGAGTCATCTCAGAAGCTTTATACCAATACTCAGACTCAAATAATATGTGATGGTACCTGCCCCAATCCTATATGAAGTAGTCAGTCAGGAGTCCAATTTTAAAGCAAACACAGCTGAGGGAAGTTAAAATTTCCATACATGTTCAAGTTTATTCTTTGTAAGTTTGTACTCAGTTTTTTTTCTTGTTAGTCTTTGTTAGACTTCCAAAATCAAATTCCAGTAAAATGAGAAAAAAAGAGGCATTTTCCTCTAAAGATTAGATCCAGTGATACATATTTTATATGTAATGTGATAAACTCCATTTTAATTAAACAGAGGAATTGGAATTGGTAACCGGTGAAGGAACAGAAAGTAGATGTAAATAGATATTATAATAGTGGGGAGATATGAATGGCAGGTGGACCATAGATCTATGTAAAAACTGATAAGGGTTATGAAGTAGCACCACTGCATTTGGGTGAATACTTCATTTTGAGGTGTCAAGTTGGTCTGTCTCACCAAATCTGCTTTAATCAATTGTCTTGACTCAATAAATAGGAGTTCTGCTATGTGTGGAAATCCCACTTGTTAACTGAAGCAAAGAAATGCAGCCATTGTTCTTTGGCATTTGGAAGCATTCATTGAAGCACTTCTAAGGGGCACTTCAATCAAAGTTTCATTGAGGCAAAGTGAACTAGAACTAAATAATTTGATTGTATTAATATATAATCTGGATGAATACTGATTGTGAGTGAATATTGATATGGCCAATTTTGCTGAAAAAGTTTAGCATGGACATAAGAGATCACAAAGAAATTCAGAAAGTATTTCTCCAAAAGATGAATGTGGTCCAGTCAGCATTTCCTCACTAATGATATATATAGTAGCACCATCCAGCCATTGGGGTGATTCTATGAAACCTCTCTTTATTTAATGATACAGCACCATTGTGGTAGCTGGATGATGTTATTAATTACTATTGCAGACTTCTCAGTGTAAGCAAGCATTAAGTGATGTTTCACATATATGCTGATACTGTCTGAGCTAGTAGGAATTGACCAGACAAATAGTCATGAGGTAGTGACATATAGCTTAATAAAAACACAAGAAAGCCATCTGTTTTTCAAAAAATCCAATATTACAATGCCTTCATGATCACAGTTGGTGTTACTATACTTAGAATAATTTGTATGGTACTGTGGTCATTGTGCTTCAGAAAGAAGATGTAGAGCTGGAAAATGTGCAAAAAACGATAAGCAGATTTATAAAGCTCCTTTTTCACTCCCCTGTGAAGAAAGGCTACAATTTTTGGTTTGGAAAAAAGTTAAACAGAGGCCCCTGATAGAGATGTATAGAACTATACATGGTGTAGCAAATGTTCACTCATTGTACTAGAACTCAGAAATATCCAATGATTCAATGTTGTAGATTTAAGAGAAAAAAAGTGCTTAATGAAGCATTGTAGAATTTGCTATTGCAAGAGGTAATGATGGACATCAAATTGGATAGTTCTGAAAGAGTTTGGTCACACTCGTGGGGAATAAAGTATTACATACTGTAGCTATTAGTTATGATGGCTACATACTATCTCTAAGATAAAAATACCAGTCACCAGTAAATAATTGATATACTGCTTCTGAGCTTTCTATTCACATCTAGTTGCTGGCCTTCTTGTAAGCTTCCAGTTGACATTTGGCTTGTATGGTGGATAAGATTAGTGTTACCAGATATCTGAACAGGCAAAGGAGGACATGGACAATTGGAAAGGAGGACAAATGGAGGGGAAAGGAGGACACCCTGTTTTATTTTCTTGGCAGCTGCAACAAAAATTACAGCAAAAATGCGCTTTTCAATTTTTGCCACAGAAATTTATGACAAGTCATGTGATCTACAAACTACAGTGAACATATATTTGAAGGGGGTGGATTGAAGCCAACTGCTGAAATCAGGAAGTAAATAAAATAAATCTAAGCTGTTGAGTCTGTTGACGGACGAGGAAAAGAAGCAATTTACAAGGTCACAGTACACAAAAGCTTGAATGAATACTGTTGTGAAAGCAAAATAAAAACAACAAGAAGATACTCAAAATGCTGAATCATATTTGATTTTAAGGCTGTGCCTTCCAGATGGAGGACAGGATGATGAAAAAGAGGATGTGTCTTCCTTTTGCCAAATATCTGGTAACCCTAGTTGAGATGGGCCTTTGACCTTATCCAATATTACAAAGCTGGCAGTTGTTACTTTGTTCCTAATATAGCTGGAAGAATAAAATTTGCTCCTGTCTGCCTCAGATACTAGGATTTAGTTCATATTTCAGTGGCTCCCAAGTTTTTCTATGTTAAATAAATGGTTTTTATTCATTTGTGTGGAGACATGTGAAGTTTCCAACCATTTGACATACAGTTGGGTGAATGAACCAAAATAAGCCAATGTTATAAATAATAGAATGGAATTCCTTTAGGTTGATTGGATATCCCTTCAGAAGCTAATAGCATGGCCTGGTATTCTTTGTTTCTGCCTTCCGTTAATGTTTTCTTGATTAGATAAAGTAAGAATGCACTGTCTCAGAACCTCTCTGAACCTATTTATGGTCCTTTCAGAAGCTGACAACACAACTCCCTTGACTTTTTTTTTTCATTAATTATGAATTCTTTACAAGTTAAGCAAGCTAGCATGTCTAATATTCAAATTTATGATACATAGCTATATACGTTTCTTCCTTAGGAACGCTGGAAAGAATCTGTTAATAACCTTGATCAAAGATTGCAAGGAATTGTAGGTGATACCCTTATATCAGCAGCTAGTATTGTCTATAGTGGAATGTTATCAGCGGGGTATCGTCAGCAGCTAGTCAATGACAGTTTGAAACTCTGCAATGAGAACAATATTCTAGTGTCTCCAAATTACTCATTGGTAAACTGCATGACAGACAAGAATGAGGTAGTGTACATAGAGAAAAAGATAAGAAATTGTTTTATTTATAATTTTATCTAAAAACTTTCCTGGAAATTAACATTTCTTCCTCATGTTACACTTTCTGTAGCAGAGTATTATCATTTTAATCAGTTAAAATAGTTAATAAATAGTTGTATTATTTATTAGAATTTCTTTGAGAAAATATACTTCATATTTTATAGGATTGTTCGTTATTATTATCATTTGTGTGTATGTGGGAGAAGGGAGAATTACAGGCAAGATTATAAATCTATAAAATCATTATTTTATAGGTCCGCAGATGGCAAAATGCAGGTTTGCCACTTGATCAATACTCCACAGAAAATGCAATACTTATTAAACATGGACGACGGTGGCCTTTATTAATTGATCCCGAAAGGCAGGCTTACAAATGGATATGTCAAATGGAAGGTGGCAAACTACGACAAATCCACATTACAGATGTCAATTATTTAAAAATACTTGAATATTCTCTGCAGTTTGGTGAATCAGTCCTATTGCAGGTAACTCAACTTCAACACAGGCTAGTCATTCAATGTACAAATGGAGAAAAGTATAAAGCAATCAGTGCAAAAGATGAGCTTCTATATTATAACATAGGAATTTTTGAAATAATGTCCTATTTAATTTCATTGAAAAGTAAAATTTTAAAGTTTTAGGGCTGATTTTGCTAATTAATATTAATTAAAAGACTGCTGAAAACTATTAAATTCCAGACTTCAAAATGGAAATGTTATGAATCTGAGAGGGAAGGTAGTTTTATCCGATAGTCAAGACCTTTCTTTCCATGGTTCTACAGTGAAGAATATCTGTGTTTGTTTAACAAATTTATAAGGCTGCCCATCTACCAAAAGGTACTGTAGGTGGCAACAAAAATAAAAACACAATACAATTATTTAATAAAATTAAAGCAAAAGGAGGAAGAGGAGGAGGAGGAGGAGGAGGAAGAGAGGGGAGAGAGAGGGAGGGAGGGAGGGAGGGAGAAGGTTAGGTTCTGATAAAACTCATATCCATAAATCAACCATTCTATGTCAGCTCCACCAATATCTTGCCTCAGTGCATGGGGGGAAAGCCAAGTCTTCACTGCTTTCCGGAAAGCTAATAGGATCAAGGCCATCTGTGTCTCTGGAGGGAGGCTATTCCATAAAGGAGGCATGACAGAGAAGGAGGCCCACCTGCCTAACAATGCAATAGTTGAATGATAAAAACACTACTAATTTTCAACTATTAAGCATTATGTTGAGGACCAATTTGGCCTAGTGGTTAAGGTGCTGGACTGGGAGTGGGGAAATCCAAGTTCTAGTCCTGCCTTAGGCACAAAAGCCACCTGGGAAACTTAGGGCCAGTTACTCTCACCCTCAGAAAAAGGCAATGGTAAATCATGTTTGAAGGAAATCCACATGGTCTATGCATTTGCCAAAAGTTGAGGCTGATTCAAAGGCATATATTTGCATGTGCATGCACACACACACACATGCATACAGACATTATGTAAGAATTACATGGGAGAGACATAGTGAGAATCAAAATGTGAATTCTTGTTTATTCATGCTTCTTAGAATGGGATGAGCTTATAATGTTTGGTGCATTGTTGAGCCACAGCAATTCATAAGGATTCCTCACCAGAAGCAATCACCAAGAAAAGAACAAAGTAATGTAGGAAGTACCTTTTTCAGAGAGCAGGAGAATATTACCTACTGTATATGTAATATTGACTATACTTTTATGTTTTTTAGGATTTTCCTGAAACATTGGATTCAAATTTAAAACCAATCTTAAAGAAGGAGGTCTACAAAAAAGGAGGGCAAGAATTCATTAGAATAGGAGGTTCTGAAATTCAGTACAATTCAGACTTTCGGTAACTGCTTGTATAAATTATATGACTTTAAGCCTGCACTTTATATTCAACCTAACAAGAAATTGAAAGTATTATAAAGATTTCTAAATATTCCCAAGTCATGGGATATATTTAAGAATTAGTTAGATTTTATTCATGTGGATTATTTGCAAGCAAATTCTCAGCAAGAGAATATAATGGCCACTGGATCAAAACTATATTACTGTACAAATATTTGCACTATCATGACCAGAAATACCATGACCAGTTTTTACTATAACCAGATGTAGATATAGTATTGCTGAAAGTTATATGGAAATGGGCTAGTGCTAGACTGAAATTATCTAAGAAACAATATCAACGTTTGTAAAGCCCAGTGCATCACCAAATACCAAATACCTTAGTGAGTTATACACGATTAAATCTAGTGCAATTCACAAGCGATAGAGCTACCAGAACTGTCTAGCACCTTGGATTCTAGGAGAAAAGGTGCCTCAGAGCACACGTGCATGCATTCATGACACCAGCAACTCTCTAAACCAAATGCATATTTTCCTGTGATTATGCAGTAGTTGCAGAAGGCAGCTACTGTACATGCCCCTGGGAAAAGATGCAGCTATTTTAAGGGGTTACCAAGCGGTGCTATTGTGAGCACTCCTGTGCATTCCAAAGCATTTTCCCCCTTCAGGTCTGAATCACTGTACAATCCTGATAGCTACCTCACTAGCCCTCATTGATTGCTTCTCTAGTTAGGTTCATACTGCTGTGTGCTAGGACTAAATATTGGTTGATGGATATCATAAAATCCTCTGAGCACACATATCTGGGATGCTTGGCTCTGGTGCTTGGCCTTCCCTTTTATATTTGAGTAATATAAAGCAGGGGTTTTTTTCTTTAACATTAAATTTAAGGCAAAGCCGTAAGTTGGCATGTTTATCATATGTATGTGTCCTTTTTTCCCTATAAAATGGAAGGCTTTGGCGGTTTTTTAGACTGTACAAAAGATTGCAGCGTGGAAGAGAAGCCTGCCCTTTCCTTGCACATCACAATTCAGAGTAGTCAACTCTCTTGTTCCAGACATTAGAGAAAAAGAAATTTAGAGAAAGAGATGGATATTGCTTCCAAGTCTCATATACTCAAAAGTATATATTTTAATCCTGTCCTGTTTTATAGCAGGACATATGAATACAATAAATAATTAATCACTGGGGAAGAAGTATCATGGGACTGGACACTAAATCCTGTGAGGAGACTGAGAGATACAAAATGCATAGAATGGAAAGAAGAAACCAGGGGAAGGGAGGTGATACCACACTTTAAGTACCTGAAGATGTGTTACTCAGAATACAGCCAAATTATGTCATCCAAGAGCATGCAAAATAATTGCTATGAGTTACAGAAAGGCAGATTCCAGGTGAAATTTAAGAAAAATATTTTGTTTCATCATTCTTTTTACCTTGTTAGATGTTCTTGAACTATTATTATTTTATATTATTATTATGTTATATAATTATAAATATTTAGATATTTATAGATATTTATATAATTATTATAATTATTATAATATAATAATAATAGTTCAGGAACATCTAACAAGGTAAAAAGTATGATCTACACTACACTTGATCTTAGCCAAAAGGCCAAGAAGCGATTCTAACAAAACATTTTTCTTAAATTTCACCTGGAATCTGCCTTTCTGTAATGCATAGCAATTATTTTGCGTACTGTTGAATGACATAAGTTATACAATCTATTAGAGATGCTTTAATTTAGATTTGTGTACTGAGGAAGGGGTTAGACTTAGTCTTTCAATTCTATACATTCAAACCAGCCCTCTCATGAATATTTCTAGTTTGGCCCTTAGCGATTTAGTCACTCCAACTCAATAAGGAAAGTTGGCAAATTGAATTATTCCATTGTTCTACTCAAAATTTTAAAAAAAGAAAAAATTATAAACAAAATTAAAATTAATTTACAATGAAAGGCCTCACAAACATAATGCAAATTTATAGATTTTCAAAACACTGAGCGTGCAAGAGCCAAACAGACCTCTCCCACATGCCAGAAAAAGGTCCTCTGACAGGTGGTGGTGGGGCAGTCTTCCAAAGGTCCTCTTCTGCAAATCTTAACAACGATGCAGGGTTATAGTGGTAGTCTCTTATAGTAGATAGCCAGGCTTTAAGACATTGAGATCTTCATAGGCTAGTATTTCAGATTAAATGCAAGTAAGAAAAGAAATGAAAACTTGGCTCTAGAAGAGAACATTCAGGATGTTAGGAGATACTAGATTTTCTTTTGTAATTTACAAAATTACAAATGTGATTGTGATTGGAAGAGCACTGAGGGTGTTGTTTGTTTAAAAATAACATTCACACAATTACTAATTATTGAATAACATAGTGACATTCGGGCCTTATATACAGTAATTGAAGTTATTTCTGTACTGGAATCAGCATACAAATTCTGTCATATTACAATGGTTGAACATGTATTAATTTACAATTAATATATTAAGAAGTAATATTTGCTTCTTAGAATTGTGCAGAGGGTTTTTTCCCCTAAAGGATATGAGTTATAATTAAAAATACATGTCACAGATTGATATGCTGTATTGGAAAGCTTTATAGATATTTGTGGTTCTTTCAGATTATACCTGACAACACAGAAAGCCAATCCTAATTTTCTGCCAGCAACATGCAATATTGTTACAGTGATAAACTTCATTTTAACATTCCATGGTTTACAAGATCAGCTTTTATCTGCTGTTGTAAATAAGAAAAAACCTGAGCTTGAAAAACAGCATTGTGAGTTGATGGAAAGCATATCAATTGATCTGGCAGCACTACGTGAATATGAACAAAAATCACTTAAACTTTTACAAAAAACTAATGGTAAATAAAACTTTGAAATGCTCCATATATCTTATTCATCAGTTTTGCACAACCTACAGACCTCTGTTATTAAATAGGATACAAAGGCCACAACATTTTCTGAAAATAATGTTTAATTATCTGTGTACAAGTGTTTACAACGTTGGTTTGGATAGTGGCAGCATAAAAGCAAATACCTGCTGGCTCATGTGTTCTATAACTATTATTAACATAATTCTGTATCATTCCAATTATAATTGAAGGACCACATTCTTCCAGTAATTCTCATTGCAATATTATATGATCATCCCCGAATCCTTTCCTATAACTCTCCATACTTTCTGATATAAAGGTAATCCTCCATTAACTACAGTAATTGGGACTGGAATTTCAATCACTAAGCGATGTGGTCGTAAAGCATGATGTCATGTGACTGCATCAGTTAGCAATGGCAACCCCAGCACTGCCCATTGCCATCATTAAGTGAAGATTGCAGGTCTTTAAGCGAGGACCTCCTTGCAACTTCCTGCTTGCATCCAACAAGCAAAGTCAGTGGGGAAGCCGGCAGGAAGTTGCAAGTCCCAGGGTGCAGGAGGGTGTGTGAGGGGCCAGTGTGACACAAGCACAGTGGGGTTTGGGGTGGCTGCCGCAGGGTTAGGATTTACTGGATCCATGTCCCTCCTGTTTGGCAAAGGCCTCCCGGGGGTGACATGTGGTTGGGTGTTAGCGGTGTCTTCCTTGAGACAGGGAGTTGTCCCTCCACCTCTTAAGGAGGTGGTGGTTTGCTGCCTCCTCAAGAAGCCATTGCTAGACCAACCATTCTAGAGAATCTTCATCCAGTCTTCAATGTTCCCTTTTTAGAAAAGGTCATTGTGCAACAGCTTCAAAGATCCTGGATTAAACAGATTATCTGGACCCCTTCCACTGAGGTTTCAGACCTGAGTGTTGGAAGGAGACAGCATTGGTTATGTTTTTGGATGCCCTCTGGCATGAGCGGGATGGAGGTAGTGCATCCATCATTGCTGTTGAAGTATTGGCAGCCTTCAATACAATCAACCATGGTAAACTTCTGGACCAGCTACAGGGATTGGGGGTGGATGGCACTGTATTGTGCTGGTTCTCCTCCTTCCTCCAGGGCCAGTTCCAGTCGGTGTTGATCAGGAGCAAGAGGTCCTGCCCTCAGCCCCTCTTTTGCAGGGTCTCACAGGGTTCGGTACTCTCTCTGCTACTGTTTAACATCTACATGAAACTGCTGGATGAGGTCATTCATTGCCATGGGGCGAAATATCATCAGTATGCTGATGATATCCAGCTTTATATCTCTGCCTCTGGTGAATTAAGAGATGCTGTTAAGGCCCTGTCCCAGTGTCTGGAGGCTATAGAGGTCTGGATGGGGAACAACAGGCTTTGGCTCAACCCTAGCGAGTTTTGGGGCCTGCTGGTTCCAAGGACTTACCATCTTTGGTTCTGGATGGCACTGCCCCAAATAGACCTGGTTTGCAAACTGGGGGTTCTCCTGGACTCCTGGCTCCAGCTCTAAGAGAAGATGGCATTTATGGCCAGGAGGGCCTTTGTACAGCTTTGTGTTGTGTGCCATCCCTGGATTGGGAAATTACTCTCAGTCACTCATGCCCTGGTCACCTCCCAAATGGATTACTGTAATGCAGTCTTCATGAGGCTGCCCCTGAAAAGCATCTGGAAGCCTCAGCTGGTGCAGAATGCAGCTGTGCAGGCAGTTATGTGCACTCCTCATTCAGTGCACATTATACCTCTGTTCCACAAGCTGCATTGGTTGCCAGTCTGCTAATAATCTACTAATAATCTGTAAATAATCTACAAAGCTCTACATGGCATGGGGCCAGGTTATTTCAGGGACCACGTCTCCCTAGATACATCTATCTGCCCCATCAGGTCTAGCAGAAAGGACATGTTATGGGTCCCATTGATTAAGGAGTGTCATCTGATGGGACTGAGGAAGAGAGCCTTTTCTGCCACAGCACACACCTTTTGGAACATCATCCCCCCCAAGAGGTTGGATTTGCCCTGACCCTACTTGCCTTTCAAAAGGCTCTAAATATGTGGTTGTATCAATGGGCCTGGGGATCAGGTTATGGTTTGGAGCTTGTTAGATGGTTATACTGATTGATCCATGACTTCTCTTGTCTGCTTTTTATGTTTGGTTGGTTGATTGGTTTTAAAGTTGATTTTAATTAGGTTTTTTATTTGGTTTTAAGGGTTATTGTGTTTTTACTGTTTTCCTGTATTTTGCTTATTGGATGCGTTATTTGGTTGTTTTTAAGTATGTGAGTGTCAGGTTTAGCCCAGGGAACTCCAGGAGACCATGCAGGTTCAATCCAACAAGGTTTATTAGCTGCAACCTCTATCAAGAATCTTCCCAGACTGAAACCTCAGTTCCCAAAGTCAGCCAGTCAAAACAGAGTGAATTCCTCAGGGAGGTGCCAGCCTCATCTGCTAATCTCTTCCCCGCACTTCAGGAGATGAAAGAGCATTCTTTACTCCCCGATTCTGGCCCCCACAATTCCAGTCCATCACAGTGAGCCACCCAGAATCACAAATGTGAGATTTAATTTATACAAATTAAATATATAAATAAAATTAAACAGAGAATGTTGGATATTTGAATCAAATTGATTTAACTGCTATCAAAATATTATAGGATCATAGAGATCCTATTTAAGAATCAATTTGTCTAGTTTTATTCTATATTATCTAATCCTCATTCTCAATATTATAGGATAACACTCTTTTGAAAGAAATTTATTTGATATACATTAAATGTGATTGCAACTAATCTACTCCTGTGGTGTGTAGTATGAAAAAAAAATGGTTTGCATTTTATTATTCACCTTGATCCACCATAGGCAATACAGTACATATGTAGAAAAAAATATCTTTACACACAGGCTGAATTGGAATCCTGTATTTAAAAATATGCAGTTCCTGAGGCTGGCTCTCATTATCTTACACTTGAGGCTGTCCCCTTATATATCAACATTACTAGAAGACCCTCTCCCAAGCATGAAATGAAACATTCAGCTCTGACAGTGTTCATATTTTCCCTGGAACTCTAAATAATCCTTGTTTGTCATTGTCCCTGGGTATTCCCCCTGGCAACTCTCAGCTACAAGAACCCCAACAACTGGCACCTCCATAAGTAAAAATATTTATTTTCCTGGGACCGTGCAGCTCCAGTATGAGCCCAGGAAAAGATGCAGCCTTTTTAAGGTGGTTCCAACAGCTGTAGCAAGTAGCACCTTTCCCCCCAGCACTTTTTCAGATCCAAATAGCTACATACCTTTAGTAATGTCATAAAAAACCCATATTTTACTAGATTCATAACTTTGCTAACAAGGCCCCCTCTTTGTACTGCTTTCTGGTTTGTAAAATGAGTATTTAATTTAGAAGATGCTTATTTAATTTATTCTATTCCACAATTCAAATAAACTTTTTTAAAATTACAGGGCACCTTTTAGATGACCAAGACCTCATTGACAATTTGCAGCAAACAAAAATTACCTCCTCAGAGATTTTTCAGCGTGTTGCAGATTCAGCAGCAACAGAAGTCACCATAGAAGGATTGCGTAAAGCCTATCTTCCTATAGCAACTCGTGGTGCTGTGCTCTACTTTGTAATATCAGATCTTGTACACATCAACCATGTGTATCAGTTTTCACTGAATTGGTTTCATAAGATCTTTGTAGACTCCACCGATGATGTAAAGAAAAGTGACATTTCTCTCAGTGATTCTATTTCTAGAACTAAAATAAGTCGATTTAGGAAGCAAAATGGAGAAACATCATCCGAAAATGAGAACGATATAGACCACTTCAAAATATATATTAATGATATGATGGAGACACTAACACATCATGTCTACGAGGTACTTAAATATTATAATGCATAAATTATTTTCAGCTAATAGAGCTTGTATATATATGTATTTGCAAAGAATAGCAAATGTTAATGGGATATATATATATATGTATTTATTTTGCAGACAGTTTCTTCAGCTCTGTTCAGTAAACATAAGCTATGCTTTGCTTTTCTACTGTGCACAGCAATCATGAAAAATAATTGTGGTGAAAATTTATTTACTGATAAGCTTGGATTTATATCAGAGAACCAGTGGAAATTCTTTCTGCACTCTAGCATGATAGCAAATATCAGCCAATCATCAATATCTGACTATACTGGTAAACAAAAAATTCCTATTTTCAGTAGATAAATGTGTAATGATAATAAGGTGTTCTCAGGGATGTATGCTCATCATCCCTGAGTAAATAAGTATCATGCATATAAATTATAGTTAGAATTGGCCACAGAAAACATTTTAAGTTACTAATATACCCTTTTTAAAAAAAATCTTTCCGCTGAGCTAAGCAATTTTTTTTAGATATTATAGTGCTGTCCCTGGAATTTTTGTAAACTATTATAAATTGGGATTAAAGTTATCAAAGTAAGAAATGCAAACACTGAGAAAAATTAACATTTTCCAAAACTTTTATACATTTTTTCTAATTTTGTGTGTATTGATTAATAGTATAATTTTCTAAATTTAAGGGTGTGTGTGTGTGTTTGTTTATTTATTTATTTATTTTCCCCCAATGCTGCTCTTGGGGGAAAAAACACAAACAAGGGTTCTATAGAGCAGGTTGGAATTACTTTTCAGGAATAAACTCCTGCTTTTCTTTAGAAATACAAAAGACTTAAAACTAAAATGGTGTCTGTCTGTCTAGCCTTAGGCCTACTATGTCACATGATCCAAAACAAGAGGAAAAGGGAAACAAAAAATAATTAAGCAAAAGGTTAACAAACTTTTATATTTTTCTCTCTTCTCCTAAAAGTGATATTTCTCAGGTCAGATACCTATTCCTACAGATGTTTCTTCAAAGCATAAGCAGGTATATGTCAACAGTTTAGCTTTTCTGGCTAGACCCACTCCACCAGCCAACAGGCCTCATATAAATTCCTTTCCTCTTGCCTCTTAATTCTGTTATTTTCCTTCTGGTTGCTTTATTATTTTCTCATTTCTTATAACGGTGGAGATAACCAGGCGTACATGCTGTCTATTCTCAATTAGATCTCTGGCATCTTCTGGATCAGAGTCATAGAATCATAGCATTGGAAAGGCCATGTAGGCTTTCAAGATTGACCCACCCCTTGCTAGGTGCTGGAATCCAAATTATTTTTTTTCTATTTAAAGAACACCTGACTCCCAACAACTCTGGGCACTTAATTAACGCATATCAGACAGGTGGCTAACTAGTCTTTGCTTGAGTACAATGATGAAGGGAAACAACTCTCTGGGTAAATTGTTCCACTGTAAGATTGTTCTTACTTTTAGGAAGTTTTTCTACTATTTAACTGGAATCTGCCTTCCAGTAACTTAAATCCATTATTCCAGGTTCTATCCTTTGGAATGAAAGAACTATCTTGACCTTCTTCCATGTGACATCCTTTCTGATATTTGACAAGTGCTGTCATATCTCCTCTCAGTAACCTTTTCTAAGGCTAAACATATCCAGCTCCTACAGTCATTCTTCACAAGACTTAGTTTCTACTCTTCTTACCTGCTCCATTGCCTTTTTCTGAACTTATTCCGGTTTCTTTGACTCCTTCTTAAAGTATAGTACCAAGAACTGCCCGCAGTTCTGAAGATGAGGTTTTGACCAAATAATGTAGAATGGACTGGAAAAATTATGACTGGAATCATAATGTTAATTCCTTGTAGGATTTTCTAGGGATTGGTATCTTGAATACATGAGCAAAATTGCTTTGCTGGATTTTTCCCTTCTGGCCTTGGTAAAGATAAACAACATTGTGTGCTAATGTCACAAATTAGCATCCCTTTTCCTGGGTTGTCCTGATACAACTCAATTCTGCATGCAGAACACACTACAAAGTGTAAGTGTAATATATCTTTAAAAAAATTAAGTTATAAGTATTGTTAAAACATTAATATATGATATTATTGAAGAAATTAGTAGAAATTAGTACCATTATCAGGCAATGGAAAGCAATAATCCATACAAAAAGCATCTCTAAGCAATGGGGTACAAATGCATAACTACTTTGTGTATAATATGTGTATCTCTCAGGCACACTGACTGGAGGAAGGCAGAAGTTAGTTGGCAGGTCTCTTTCCAACCCGCATGAGGTTTTCCCTTTTGGATGCCTCATCAGGCTATCTTTCCACTACTATGCATCTCCTGCCCTTCTCTCCCTGACTCTGATGCTGCCATAATTCACTGATGGCATGGGTGAAATTCTCCTTGAGCAGCTCAAGCTGCCCTGGATTCACATAAGCTCAAGGGCCAAGAAAAAATGTGGCTGTCTGACTTGCAGAGAATTCCCCCCCAACTCACCTGCTGTCTGTGACTGGAAAATCAATCTTGTTGCTGAGATTTTGGCAAGGTAGAGTGCTCCTGCTGGCCAGATGCTGTGTTGGTGGCCAAAAAGTAGAAGGATTTTCCTCTCTCTTGTCAGAAAGGCATCATCTTTGTTCCCAGTTGATTGGCCAGACTTAATTTTAAGAATGAGGTGAAGTAACAAGGAAGGAGAGAGAGCTATAGGGAATGTACAAATTATTGCTTTCTGTATGAAATAAGGTGCTTGTCATTTCAGTAGTCACCAGTTTAACTTTTACAATTAGGACAGAATTCAATTAGAATAGAACTTTCAGGAAACAGCAGGAAAGAGAAAGTGAGAAAAATGAAACGTCTTTGTTTTTCTGGACCCCCAAATAAATATTTTTCTTATATCCTTCCTTCCTTGCCTCTCTACTACCAATAATCACCTGTTAACAAATTTACAGCACACTCCTGAGTTTAATTCTTGCTAAATGTATATAAGATTGTAAACCCATAAATATATTTAAATGGCTAAGGGTGACTTTAGTCCTATATAATGGTGAATTGAAAGCCTCCAAAGGAATCCTTCAACTGGAATTCTGAATAGAATATGTCTTTGTTCTCCATGATAACATTTTTGGACAAAAGAAAAATAGAAAAATCAAAGTGGAATAGTATTAATGGAATATTCTCCTGTAGTATAAAATCCAAATAGCTAATTAAAAAAATACTTTCTTAGTTTTTGATCAAAATTAAGAATTTGGTTATATTTATCTCTTGAATGAAAATCAAAAGCACTAATATGTGTCCTAATTAAATGTTTCATATTTTTTTAGGTTTGGGTGTATTTAAGAAAACTCCTCCACTCCCCTGGATAAGTGAAATGATGTGGAAAGAATGCCAGTACATGAGTACTTACATGTCAGCATTCAGCCTATTGTGCAATTCTCTGTCAACATATTCTCAACAGTGGAGAACTTTTCTGGATAGTGAGAATGTATATAATTTGATTAGTACAAGTTATAGACCATTATCAGCAAAGCAAGGTAACTGCTAAAATATAAAAATAAAAGAATATTCTTTGGATTACTTATTTTTAACTATATCTTATTAAAAATATGCAATCCACTTGCCAAAAGGGTGGGAAGTATTTATTGGGTTTAGTTTGCTTTGGGTGAGGAAGTAATAAAATTTGAAGGAATCTCTATAATATCTTACTTATAAACTTGGAACAATGTATGAGACAAACTGGAGGTCAGCTGAATTGCTACAGGGCAGTACTGAGGCAAAGGCCCAAATCTTAGGCAGGAAATACTACCATATACTTTCCCACATAAAGCATGTCAAATGCTCCAAAACAGAAGTTGCATTGGATGTGAAACAATGATTCTGTGACAGAACAACAGTTAAAGGGAAAAATTTATTCAGCAACAATTGTCCTGCAGGAGCAGATATCAAAATGGGATGGTTACAGAACTTACAAACATGCATAATAAACATTCTCATTAGTTTAATGTATGGTTTTGCCTGATATAATTAAACTTTACATTTTTGCACCTACTAAGGCCTTTTGTTCCCTATATAGTCTTTTAAAACACTGATTGGTCACTTTGCTATCCTCGAACATCCTGGAATGCACACTGATTTATTATCTTAGCTTTCTTGTACATGGCCTTTAGAAATAATGGAGAAGGGCATCTTATTTGCTCCCACAGTATACCTGGGAAGTTTAATTACATTAAACAAGGTTTATAATACTGGAAAAGGTACTAATTTGTTACAATGTTTGTATAGTATAATTGTTTAACTTATTTCAGAATTTCAGTAATTATTCAATAATTATTTTAATCTGTTAGCAGACTCACAACCACAAGTAGCAAGAGAAAGTGAAGATAAGGAGAGTACACCTTTAATTTTTCCTTGGGAAAAGCTTTCTCCATTTGAAAGACTTACCTTGGCAAGTAATCAAGTATCATTAGTTAAAACTGTTTCTGGCATCTAGAAGGACCATGCTTCTAGCTGATTTGGAAGACATCTGGCAGTTAATGATATCAGCATACCAAATTCAGAAACTGTATTGCATTGGGTCAGCCAAATATTTTTGCTCTGGGTCTACACTTTCATCTCCTGCTCTCTCTGAGGGCTGTGAGGGCATGGTTAGTGAACTTGCCACAACTCAAGTGTGGAAAGAAATGAATTTTTCAGATGTTTTGCTAGTTGTTTTCATGGTTGAAAAGAGGGCTAAGGGAGGGGCAAAAATTACGTATTTGTATTTCTCCACTAGGCAAGACCCAGAACTAAACATCACAACACCAGGGAAAATCTGATGGATTCTTTTTAAAAAGCATGAATAGGTTATCATTATCATTTTTATTTTTGATAGATAAAAGTTCTCCGTTCAGAAATGTTAAACAGTGCTGTACAAGGCTTTATATCTGAGAAATTAGGGGCTAGGTATCTTCAGACTGGAGGAATTAATTTAAAAAGAATATATGAAGAATCTGATTCTACAACTCCACTAATTCTCATCCATACCCATGGTGAGCATTTTACAGAGTGTATGTGTTCCTCTGTGTGTATGTGTGTATATATATATATATGTATGTATGTATGTATTGATTTGTAAATTATTCTCTATATTGATATAAGTGCTAACAATACATGATCATCCAACTAAAACTACTTATTACTAATTTGTAATCAAGATCAGCACATCCTGATTGTTTCCACCCATCCTATCCAATCTAGTAGGAGAGACATGCTGCAGGTACCATTGGCCAAGGAGTATCTGCTGGTGGGGCCCTGTAAGAGAGTCGTTTCTGCTGTGGCACCTGAGATTAGGTTGGCCCCAACCCTGCTGGTCTTTCACAAGACCTTGAAGACCTGGTTCTGTGTGTGCCTAGGGCCCTGGGTATGTGATGAAGCCTGTCCCCTGGCTTTGCTTAGGGCTTTTTATGCTTTTCCAGTCGCTTTGTGTTTTATTTTTCATTTTATTTTGTATTTGTATATATTTTTTATTTATTTTAGTGTTGTGAGCCACCCAGAGTCATGTACTTCAGATGACTGCTATATAAATTGATTAAATAAATAAATAAATAAATCCTGTAGTTTTATTATCCTGATAATGTTTAATTAGATAATCAATCCCTGATAACTGTCATGAGTTATGATTGCTTGGATCCTACCCAAGGCAGTCTTGCCACCATCCTCCCGCACCTCAGACCATAGCCTCAGAGATGAGTGGGAAATATAGAATATGTAAAATATATTGACTGGATCCTATCTATTAAAGTTAGTGGATATCCAGTGAACATCCATATATATGTTCTGCCACCTGCATCCAACAAAGTTACTACAGCAGCTTGAGGATTGTCAGAATGAATTGTTAGATTATCCACCAGTAAAATATTCAGATCAGAAATTTTGAGTATTTTCATAAAACCAGATTGTGCAAATCATGATAGGACTTATGCAGTAAAGTTACACTCAAAATTGTTCTATATATCTGCATTTAACAAAAATATCAGGCAATATTTCACACAATTTGTGAAAGTCCTTTCCTGTTTTCAAAATAGCTGTTGCGGATGCCTTATAAAATGATAAACGAAGAGCCTCTTTTTCAAAAGACTAATTGTGTACTGCTAGCAATGTAAACCCAAACTTTCTTTATCTCCTTTGGCAAGAGAGAGTGAGCTTGTCATCTTTTATATTTATTTTTTATATTTTATTGATTTTATTGTAATTTTTTTGTTTGTTGTGAGCCACCCAGAGTCATTAAGAGTCAGACAGCATATGAGTTGATGATGATGATGATGATGATGATGATGATGATGATTTACACAACAATGTGAAATTACAGCTGGTGTTGGCCTTCATTTGCATCGAGTTCTTCCCAAGAACCTAAGATGTTGTAATGTATCGGCGTAGTATATGTGTGGATCCAAGCAGTGTTGCCTAAGGGTCCAATACTAATTTAAAATCCTCAGGTAGTCTACCTGTTCACTAAAACATTTAGCAAAACAACACCATACAGAATGTCTGTTGTATATGTGGGTGGACCATAAATATTAATAAAAGCTGCCTATCACCATTTATAAGAACTAAAATTATGTACTAACATTCAGTGTCTGTAATGTTTTCCTCAGATAAAAGATTTGAAGACTTCTTAATTAATGAGATCCAGATTCTATTCCACCCTCAGTCACAAAAACTTTGGGCCATCACTCTTTCTCAGCCCAACATACCTCACAGGGTTATTGTGGGAAAAATAGGAAGAGGAAGCACTGGGTATGCCACCTTGAGCTCCTGTTTGAATGACAGGATATAAAACTAACAAATAAATACACATACTTTAAAATAAATACATTTTCAAATTGCCACTAATATGAATCTGGTCTATCCAATTATTCACAAGTAAACATTTTTTGTCAGAAGAATATAGGTTCTTATAGGAAAACTCCTACAGGCTTCGATATATTCAGTGTACAAAAAATCCTCTTGGATGGATCTTCCAGGCATTTAACATTCCAAGGTAAAAATAAGGACCACATTATGGAAAAATTAAAGTAATATAATTTTATATTGGAAAGATCCAATATGATCCCAGATCAAGATAATTACCACAACAATGATTTGTTTTGTTTATTATAAACAACAGATTGTTTTTTAAAAACTATGAAGTTGTTTAAATAATAGTAATATAGTCATATTGTTATATTGCTATTTAGTTTTATATATATAATATCACAAATTATTAAGGGGCTTTAAAATAAATTGTAACATTTTTGAAGTTTAATAAAATAAATTAAAACAATAGCCAGAACAAATAATAAATTATTTTTAAAAGAGCTCCCAGTGGAGATGACCCCAAGATGGCAGCTTACTTTCTTCCCACCCCAACATATTCCAAAGAAGTAGCTTGCCCAAAAAGCTGCTAGATGTTATGATGTGTCCATCTTTGAAGAAACTCCACCACAACTGGATTTGGGCCATGCTAAGATTAAAGTCTTGACAGGATTCTATATGCTGCGCTAAGTAAATCTTCTACATCCTTCAGACTGTACAGCTGCTGGAAACATTTCTCCATAACAGCCAGGAGAAGTTGCTTATCCTTTACATAGAGAAGATTTAATACCATTAAATGTTTTCTGCAGATATGATCTTAAATCTGTGTCAGCTGTCCTTGACAGGCTGCCAACTCTTTTCTCATGGTTCTGTCTTATGTTTTAGTGTTTGGATTCTTTTCTCAGCAGACTCAAGCATTACTTCCCTAAGCCCATTAGTTTCCTTCTGCATAACATCAAATTTTCCTTCAGGTACGTCATACTTCTTAGAGAATGCATCATCAGAAGCAGCTCAACATTAGTGGCTCATTCCCAGATGGTGGCTCAGGTGTTAAAATTGCCCACTACATATCTCCCATTTGGTATTTGATTGAACTGTCAACCAAAACAATTGGCTCTTCTGATGGAGCTAAAGTCTCAAGCACAGAAATAATCAGCAATTGGTAATGATTTTTCTGTCTCTGTGTCAATGCCATTCCAGTGGGCAAAATAGATGGGGCAGGGAAGCCTGTGCTTATGTTTAAAAGATGTATTAACTCCTCTAAATTCCAAAATTAGTAGAAAGTACAGCAGCTGGAGAAGGCTCTATTGCTGAGAAAAGTGGAAGGAAAGAGGAGAAGAAGAGGACAACCAACAGTAAGGTTACTGCGGTGATGATGCACCATTGAAAGACCTGAAAGATCAAGTTAGGGACAGATCATCATGGAGAAAAATCTATCTCTGAGTCACTAAGAATTGGGACTGACTTGATAGCACGTAATCAATCACCCAGTCATTCAATCAATCTCAACAGCTGAGGAAGGTATGGATACAAGTCAGTTTATACTCATAACATCACTGCTTTGAGAACTGCATTAGTTTCCATTTTGTTTCTGGATACAATTCAAGATGCTGATTATCACCTTGAAAGCCCTACATAGATCAGATCCTGGATATCTCTGGAAATGCCTACTGTCATTGGTTTCTGCCCATCCATTAAGTTCTGAAAGAGAAAGTTCCCTCTGAGTCCCTATCACTTGGGAGTGTCATCTGCAGAGATCATGGGATAGGCTCTATTCAGTCAACGCCTCCCTTCTCTGGAGTAGCATTCCCCCAAAGATCAGATCGCTACGAACTTTCTTGAGACTTTGAAAAGCGATTTTCAATGACCCTTTAGGGTCTGATGTGTTTGATTGTGAACCCTCTTGCAGGATTTAGTTGGTCATCAATGCCTGTATATTTTGATTGTGTATTTCTGTGTACTTTTTAATCATATTACTGTATTGGAATTGCATGCAATTCAATCATGACTGAAACAGCACATAAGCTTGGTAAAATAAAACATACAATTTTCGACTTACCAATTATTTTTAACAAGCAGTCCAGATGTAGTTCTCAATGGCTCATGGAGGGAGAGAAGAACAAACTGCAGCTCAATGTGTTTCCATCTTGACTGGAAGCACAGAATCTTCCCATCCCGCATATTGAAGTCAGGAAGGCAGGCTGTGTATCCCCACCTACCACATGAAGCTAAGAGGATGGAAACTAGGAAACTTGCTTTCTCTGTAGCTGCCCTAGACTTTTGGAACACCTTCCTCCAAAGTAAAGGAAGTGAAAATCCTTTTTGGCCAGAACTCCTGTTGTTGTTGTTGTTGTTGTTGTTGTTGTTGTTGTTATTGTTTTATTATGTTTTATATGTGTAAATTGCACAGAATTTTGTGATTGGGGCAGCATAGAAATTGTATTAAATAAATAATAAACAAGTACGGTCAATCTTTTCTGAGCGCATTGCTTATTCGTTTTATAACTTGTTTACGAACTGGCTAGATTGTTCTTTCCTAAGTGTTCCATTCACATTCCAACCATGGATTAACAACCTCTATAGATTTTTTATGAAGACTACCTCTACCAGGTATTCCTTGGATTGCACTTGGTACCAGCTTTCCATATTCATCCAACATTACAGAAAGGACACAGGGTCTCAAGCCAATGCAGCCAAATCACCAGGCAGTGCTCTTATCCATTCTGCACAGACTGACTGCCCTATTCCCAGGTGAGGGGAATATTTGAGGGACTGCCTCTTCCCCATCACATCTACCCATCCCATCAGATCCAGCAGGAGGTATATGCTGTGGGTCCTGTCTGCTAAGTAATTCCATCTGGCGAGACCCAGAAGACATGCCTTTTCTGCTCTGGCTACTGTTCTCTGAAGCATCATTCCCCCCGAGGTGAGGTTAACCCCATCCCTGTTAGCCTTCCTGAAAGCCCTAAAACATTTTTTCCCCCAGCAACCATGGGAAAAATGGGGAGCTTGCAACGTGGTTGTATAACGTTAGGTGATTGTTATTCTCCCACAAACTTGTTTTTTTAATGTTTTTATTCATGTTTCAGTGTTTCAAGATTGTTAAATTGTTTTAATTGTTGCTGTGTTTGTATGCCATTCAGAGTCATGTTCTGTGAGATGGGTGGCTATATAAATTTGCTAAATAAATAAATAAAACAAATAAATAAAATTCCCTTTAGATACAGCTACTTACTCGGTCTTTTGAATAATGCCCAGAAAACAAAAAGAAGTAGGACAGTTTCCTAACCTTAATGAACCTTAATGTCTTAGTGATCATCTTGCGTTCACCTCCTTCCCCCATTTCTGTGCAAAAGCTTGTCCTTCCTAGGCTATGTTTTTACCTCCACCAGTTCAAGAACTGAGGAAGTAGTGCAAGGCACAATTTTGATCATTCACAGTAGTGTGGAGGAAAGGGATTTTTGCCCATGGAAAACTCAGCTAAAGAATATTCCAAATGCTCTGCACAGGCACACAACTTCATTTGTGGAAAGGCACAGATAACCATTGGAGGAATGTCTAGTACAGACGTATGTGGAATTTACTCCTCAATGGGATATGGGGACTGCCATCCACAGTAGCCTTTCAGAAGATTGTAAAGCACATTTTTATCCACTTGACTTTTAAAAATATTTAGTTGTATATTTTAATGTATTCAATAGCAATTATAGTACCCTACCCAGAGACTTTGATAGGGTAGGTATAGAAATCTAATAAATACATACAAACATACATACATCTTCCTTTATTTTATAGGGAATAAATGTTTAATAATGATTAAATAATATTTCTAAAATTACTTGTTTATGCATAAGTTTATTCTGTACACCTTTATTTTTGGATAAATACAGAAGAATGGCAGTTACTTTCTTTTCAAAATCATTTAATCAAGAGATTTTTGGAGTATTGTAGGAATGGTGTGACATACCTATAGTGGAAAACCGCTGTACCTGTTGACATTCCTCCTTTCACAAAACTGTGAAAGTGCAGGAAACCTGTTCGCTTTCCACATGATTCTCTTCTAACATAGAATACTATGTTACCCCTTTTCTCATTCCGTTATAACACATACATAAATCATTTCACTGGCACAGTATATCAGAATAACGTTCTAAATAAATGCATTTTTGGATGAAATAATAAATCAGTATTCTTTTATATATTATGTAGGGATAGACATTGCAGCAGTTGTCCTACGCTTTGCCCAGGAAATAAAAAGTAGTACAAAACATGTGACAATGATATCTCTGGGACGTGGCCAAGGCAGCAAAGCTGAAGAATTGATATATAAAGCACAAATACTGAGTGAACAGTGGGCGTTCCTTCAGAATTGTCATCTTGCAGCTTCCTTTATGCCCAGATTGTGCAAAATTGTTGATTCGTAAGCACTGTTTTAATTTATTTGTATGTGTGATTTATTATCAGATGATGAGGAACCTGAGCAGGCTAATTTTAGTGTACTGTTGGGTTCTTGGCACTCTCTGAGCTTGGTTGTCTTTCTGCAGATGTTTCATTATCGGACTAAGTAACATAATCAGTGTGAGAGAGAGTGGGGTTCGCTGACTGTTTATATATAGTAGCTTGCCCAGCCAGTTTTGGTGGAGATACAACTTCCCAGTTGAAATTGGGGCTGAGCCTGTCCGTGTCTTGCAAGGTTAAGTTTTTGTCATCTCTTCTGACTGCCAGTTGATGTTCGTGGAAGTGGTTTGCCAGTCTTCTGTCTATCCAACATATAGGTGGTTACAGTCCTTACGTTGTATGTTATAGATGATTCCTCCTCCTCCTCCTGGGTCTTTTGGTTTCCTTATGGTGTTTTGGAGAGATTATCCTTTGCCATCATTTCCTCTACTGATGAAGATATCTAGGAAGAATAATGTGTTGTTGCCAGTACAATCTGCAGAAAGCATAATGCTCCTGTACATAAAAAAGTCTCTGAAACAACCAACAGACTATTACAACTAGAAGACAACAACAAAATCCTTCCAAAACATCTTAGCAAACTAAAAGACCAATGATGTTACTTAGCCTGGTAATGAAACATCTGCAAGAAAACAACCAAGCTCAGAGAGCACCAAGAACCCAACAGTTCAACCCTGAGCTACATGTATTCTCTTCTGTTGTAATCTTAATGCACATTATTTTCTGTGAGAATAAAATGTTAGGTGAATCTTGCTAAAACCTCACAGACATTCTGTTTCATGAAAAGAGATCCAACTATTCTGTGTTTAAAGTAACTATTTTAGTGAGCTGTATTCAACAGTCATTGCTGTGCGTCTATTAGGTTTGAAGGTCTCTAGTTTTCTATAGTTGGCCTCCAATTCTTTTGAGTTGACCTGCACAAAATTAAATCAGTGGTAAAGGATATTTTGATAACCACTTAATTATCAGAGAACAATGTGCTGAAAAATTTCTCTACTTGGATTCCAGAAAGGAATATAGTGGGAAGAAATAACAGCATTACATCCACTCCTCGTTTAGAGGCAACCTCATTTAGTGACTGTTTGCAAATACGACAGTAATTTTAAAAAATCATTTTCTGACCAATGTGTGCAATTACAACCAAATTTTGTGTGCCCAAAAACAATGCACACCAGAGTAAGAGTAAGCCTGGTGTTGCTGCACAAGAGAACTTTATCTGAATGAGACAGCAGCAACCAGTGATCTTTGCAGCGTTTCTCTCTCTCTTTCTCAGTCACGTGTTCACTTAGCAGTCATTTCGCTTCTGATCTAGGGAAAGGATTGTGGTCGCTAAACAAGGAGTGGGAATATTCAAGTGGCTGACACTGAGAGATCTCATATTTTAGACATTTCTTTTTATAACATCTTTCATGGGATGCTATATTCTGCCAGTAGTTGTCACATTCCAATGTCTTCTAACTCTCATTAGCACTCATTCTAATACTTTACACTGGCCAATATAGAAATAATTTTGCAGCTGGGGCCACAGACACCAACATTACTGTTGCATAATAGTTTCTCCAGGCAGTTTATTACCTGACCATATGATTATGTTAAGAAAACTAATGCCATTTGCTTTTGAGAATTCTCCCCAAGAGACCAAGTTTAAGTATTACACCACTGACTATGAAATCCACCTGTACTGACTTGGAGTTAAGTAGCAGAGACATGTGCATTTGTGAAAAACCAATCCATTTTGCTGTGAGCTTCACCCATGAAAATTTCTGCTCTCCAAATTTTAAATAAAGTATCTGGACATAAATTTGCTTATCAGCTTAGAGGCAATTGTAGTTAGATTTACCTTTGCAAATGTACAAAATGCCTTCCCCCCCCCCTTTTTTTTTTTTTAAACAATCTCCTGTGTGCTTGTAAACTCTGGAAAGACTGCCCCTACCTTGCAGCAGTTTCTAAAATGACCATGTAGAAAGAGAGCCATGTTAGTCTACATTGGCAAAATCAGAAAGAGCCTGAGGACATTTTATTCAAAGTTCTAAACTTTCATGACCTGCAGTTCACTTCATCAGATGCATAGAGTGGCTAGACTGATGTAGGATTTAAACTGGGGTGAGATGGGGCAGGGGGAGGAAGCGAGGGGAAGACAGATTGCTTATGTAGATGCAGGCTACATGTGAAACAGATTAGCAGTACCTTATCAATTAACAATTGTAATGTTTAAAAACTATGTTTGTTGAGATTCTCTGAGATTGCCTGGAACCTTTTGATGTAGGCGAGTTCAACGCCTCTCTCTGTTATGGAGTTAAAGTTCCATTTTTCCAAAATAGTTGTTTTGAGGTCTGCTACGCAGTGTCCTGAAAGACTGAAATGCTCTGCTACTACTTTATCCTTATTTTGAGTTCTGATGTTAAATTTGTGTCCATTAATTCTTTTGTGCAAAGTTTGTCCCATTTGTCTTACATAGAATCCAAAGGGCCATTGCTGGTAAATGATGGCATACATCACATCAGAGGAAGAGCATGTGAAGGCACCTCTGATCTTGTGTGTGTATTTGTTGGGGCCTGTGATGGTGCTATTGGTATAGATATGGGGACCAAGTAGAAGCCTGGGTTTGTTACAGGGTCTGGTTTCCATATTAGCATCATTGTCCTGTTGTTTGTTGCATAGGCCCCTCTGGATTCTAGGTAGGGCAAATGGGAAAAGTTTGTCAGAAACGATGCTACCAGACTCCTCCTAATAGAATGACCATGCACCTCAGAATGTGCTGCAAGTAGACCATGCCCTCTACTGTGCTTCACACTCTGTGATGAGTACACAAGACATTTTGTTGTGAAATGGAAAGAAATAAAAAAGCAAAAGCGGTGGCTTTCTTGCTCATTTTCAGAAATGAGATCAGATTTCCTTCTGGGTAAGAGCAAACAGGGTTTCGTCCCCGCTACCTTCCATCCTGCCATAGTTACATTGGCAGAAGAAGCCTACATCTGAACCCAGCAGGATCTGTGACAAAATCTTTTTATATCCTTAAATAATAACTATGAAGAGACAATAAAATATCTATGCCTAAAATATGATTGTGAGACAGCATTAGTATTAATATTTTTAGCAAAATAGAATTGACAATTGGGTACTGTAATGTTGTATCCTGTTTCAAGTAGTAAAATTGTTATAAAAATTATTCTTTCCATAGCTTTATGCTACCTGACATAAATATAAACCCAGGGTTTAGACTATGGTTAAGTTCAACACCAGATACTTCTTTACCCATACCTATCTTGAGAAGAGGGCTAAAGGTAAGATTATTTCAAATAATCCGAGAAATTATTCAGTACTTTTTATAATTACTAATTCAGAGCATTCTTTTTCCAAGGCAAAAGAAAAGCAGCTACTATGAGCTGGGCAACTGTAACTAAGTTAACTGATAATGTAAAGACAAATAAGTAACCAAACACTTGTTGCTTTAAGTGGAATTGGGTGTCTGTGCCTGACCCAAAATTGCATCCACATGGAGGAAAATTAATTGATTTTAGCAAACTTAGTGTAGAGAGTAAAGAAGGTGACCTAGTCAGAGATATGCAGGAACTGTTGCCAAAGCTAAGGGAGCTAAAGCATTTTTAAAGTCCAGATGAGAGAGCATTCAGAAGCAGCTCTCTCCCTAATTCACTGAACTATAAGAAGGAGGACAATCAACAAGATTCTGCTATTATAGCCCATCTCAATAAAAGTTCTTTTAGCCTTCCTGTAGAGTTGATTTCCTGATATGGTCTACCAAGTGGGGCTGCCACTTTCTTACACTGATATATGTGATATATGTTTATGATTACACTATGATTCATATATATATATTGCTATGTGTTTGTTTGTTTTACTGATAAATTCCCTGCAGAATTTTTATTCATTAACTGTTTACTTATTTCCCCAAGATAGTAATAGAGACTCCACAAGGCCTAAAAGGAACACTGCTTCAAACTTTTGGATTAGGTGACACTGGTATAGTAACAGAAGCTATATTTAATAAGACCAACTGTGGGCCATCATGGAAAACACTGTTATTTAGCCTATGTTTCTTCAATGCTGTCATTCATGAAAGAAAGAAATATGGAGTTTTGGGCTGGAACATTCCATATGAATTTAACTCTTCAGATCTAGAGGCAAGAGAAAATGTCACATAAAATTATATTTGCAAGTTAAAATGTATTTTTGCTGAATCTATGTTACGACTGATGCTCTTTCAACTGACTCTCCTGTTACTATATTCAAATGTTTTTTTCTAATGAATTCACATTAGCTTATCCTGATTAACTTTTCTTTTCCTATTTAATATACCTTGTATTTAACTTTGAATCATGAGGTTGGAGGCAGGATCTTTGTTATTTTTAGTTTTGTAATTAGGAGAATTATATAGAATTATAAAAATAATTGTAACAATGATTACAAGGCTGTCACTACCCGCCACAATGCCATAGATATGGAAATCACATTCTAGATATGTGTGATACATAGGTTATCTTCTCTGACACAGATGTAGCCCCGCACACACACTTTTTTTTACATTTATTTGATAGATTTATATCCTGGCATTTATATCCAGCATTTTTTCCCCCAATAACAGCAACTCTATGAAGTAGTGGGACTGAGAACAAATGACTACCCAAAGTCACCCAGTGACCTCCCATGGATTTATAGGGGATGGACTTATATCTGGGTCTAGTTCAACCCCCGGCTCCATTTTTTCCAAGGAGTATACTCATTTGGGTGTGCATGCTCACATGTGTAAATGGATTCAAATGTGAAGTTGATAAGAAAAGTTATGAATTAAGCTTAAAAGGAAGATTATGGTGATGAGTCAAAATATCTAAAGCTGACTTTTGGGTAAAACTTAATTATAGGCTGGTGTGATTGAATTTGATTGAATCCTTCCGAGAGCCAGCCCCCCACAAAGTGAAAATATTTCTAATATGCAGATATAACAGGAATTGTGAGTACAGCAAGTTATACATAAAACAGAATCACAGAGTCATCTAGTCCATCCCCTGCACATTGCAGGTTCACTACCCCATCCCTGATAGGTGACTATCCAGCCTATGTTTGAAAAGGCTGTGAAAGGGAGGAAGCCACTCCATGCAGTAACCTATTCCATTGATTGACAGTTCTTACTGTCAAGAAGTTTTTCCTCATGTCTAATCTGTATCTACAATCTTGAAGTTTCATTCCATAGTTCTAGTCTTACCCTCTGGAGCAAGTTAGAATAAGTCTGAACCCCCTACAATGTGACAGCCCTTCAGATATTTGAAGACAGCTATCACATCCCCTCTCAACCTTCTCTTCTGCAAGCTAAACATACCTAACTCTTTTAATTATACCTCGTAGGACTTGGTTTCCAGTCTTTTCACCATCTTGATAGCCATTCTCTGGACTTGCTCTTTTTTAAATGGGGGTGTGCAAAACTGAGTGCAATGCTGCAAGTGAGGCCTGACCAAAGCAGAGTACAGTGAGACAATTACTTCCTGTGATCTCAACTCTGTGCTCCTTTAGATGCTCTTTAGGATTCTGTTGGCCTTCTTTGTGGCTGCATTATACTGTTGGGACATGTTCAGCTTGTGATCCACTAGTACACGCAAGTCCTTCTCACTCTTGTGAGCACTCTGTGCTGCTCTTCAGCTAGATTTTCCCATTCTGTACATGTTTCTTTCATTTTTCTTACCTAGATGCATGACTTTACATTTCTCCCTGTTAAATTTCAATGTATTTGTTTTTGCCCACTATTCTAGCCTTTTTGCATTTTTTCCCCTCTCTTCCCAAGTATTAGCTGCCCCTCCTACCTTGATATCATCTGCAGATTTGGTAAGCATTTCCTCAATTCCCTCATCCATATCATTTACAAAAATGTTGAACAGCACTGGGCCCAGGACAGAGCCCTGTGGCACCCCCATTGAAGATGTCTCTCCAGGTAGATTTAATACCACAAATACCCATTAAGTACAATCCTTGAGCCAAGTGTGGATCCACCTAACTGTTGAGTAGTCAAACCCATATTTGATCATTTTGTTAATAAGGATACTATGGGAGGCTTTGTCAAAAGCCTTCCTGAAGTCAAGATATACCATGTCTACAGCATTTCCCCAATCAACCAGGTTAGTAACACTATCATAAAGTAAGATCAAGTTAGTCTGGCATGATTTGTTCAGTATAACAAATGGCTCCTTTTAATTAATGAATTCTTATCTAAGTGCTTGAGATATGCTGCCCGATAATCTGCTCTTCTTTTTGGAAGGGCAAGTCTAGTCATACTTAATACACTTTGATTTTTTTTCCCTGTTTAAATATCACACTCTCATTTTTACTTATTAATTGCTTTGGAAGCATTACTAAGTTTCAAAAATGATTTCTCAGAGCATCCAAGAAAGTTTTGTGCAAGAGCCATAAATCCAAAGCCCTATTCAACTTATTCAACAAATTATAGATTCTTTGAATTCCAAACCTTGCCTCCAGGTTTTAAAAAATGATCTTTTCTAATGGTAACATTTTATTTTCCAGATTTCTATCAAAATACTGGAGATGCTTCTTGAGAAGCACCAAAAGATTCCTTGGACAGCATTGCATTATTTGACTGGAGAAGTAACATATGGAGGCCATGTAACTGATAATTGGGATCATCGATGTTTGCTTACTATTTTGGATAATTTTTATAATCCTTCTGTATTGCAAGAACATTTTGTTTATACTGCTGATGAGGTATGAGAACTATTTTTCATTATTTTGCTGTTTTAATAACCAGAATTTAAAACTCTGGGTTTACAGAATTTACAAGGGTGGGTTTACTCTGAAGGAGAAAAGGTTAAAGAGAGTCGTGAAAGTAATCTTCAAAAATTTGTATTATTTATTTGATTTATCCTGCATTTATTTTTTGTCAACTCAGGGCAGTGTAAAATGCCCCCACCTCCTATTTTTCCACAAACATAACCTTGTGAGGTGGGTTGAGCTAAGAGAGTGACTGGCCCAAAGTAACCCAGCTGACTTTCATGCCTAAGGAAGAACTAGAACTTACAGTCTCCTGGTCCAGTGTCTTAGCTACTACATCAAACGGACTCTTGTTTGTAGAGTAGCTGTGCAGAGGACAAATCAAAAGTAGACATTGGGAAGATACAATTTTCAGCTAAACATCATAAGAAACCTCCCGGAAGTCTGAATTTTTCAACAGTGGAATATTGTGTTTCAGGAGAGGAGGGCTCTTTGAATAAAATTAAAAAGAGGCTGAATTTGCAGCTTCCCTGAATATTGGCTTGGAATAAAAATCTCCAAAGCATTTTTGAGTTCAGTGATTCCATCTATAGTTTTAGTCTGGCCATATCAGTAACCCATGATTCTAAGCAACACGTGTAAAAAGGTGCAGAGCTTGCGTTACAGTGGTGTGATGCTGATTTCATCATCTCCCACCCAACCCCAGATTGTTTTCACATAGTGAAAAAGATCATATTTATTTGTAACTCTGTTTTTTAAGTAGTCATCTATGACTTAACACACCCACAAACACAGAGTCAGAATCATGTAAACCCTCACATAGAGGCTTATACTAGTTTTAATGGAGGTAAATAATAGTAAATCCTTGGGATGGGCGCAGTGGAAGGAGCATCATCTGGAGTTGCCAACATGCAGCTCAATTCTACAGTATTCAGGGAAAGTCTGTGCAGGTGAGGGAAAGTTGTATTTGTGAATGAAAAGATGACCATTCAAAGAATAAAGTTGTAGATAAGCAACATGTGCTTTCTAAGCCCACGCTTTATCTCTTCCTACTTTATTACCTTCTGCTTTTAAACTCATCCACAACTCACTGTTAAAAAGCAGGGCATCTGCAGGAAGGGTAAAAAAAGACAAGATGGTGAGCTCAACATGACTGAAGCCCTGCCCCTTTTGAATATGAATCATACATATCACACACATGTTAAAAAGGAGTGGGGCTTCAATTGTGCAATTGCACCCACCATCTTGAATTTTTTTTTCCCCTCCTTTGTGGATGCCTCTGTTAGAAATAATGGTACAGTACTAGCAACAGTACCAATAGAGGCGAATATGTGTAGCTCAGGGTTGAACTGTGGAGTTCTTGGGGTTCTCTTAGCTTGGTTCTTTTCTTGCAAACTTTTCATTACCCGGCTAGGTAACATCTTCAGTGCTAAAATGGGCTGGGGTTTGCTCTCTATT